CAAGTATACTGTGGAATCTTTAGCTTCTCTTTCCTTTCCTTTATCCTTCCCCATTTATAATTGCCTTACATATTTTCTCTGAATACATTTAGTACTATCAGACAATGTTAAATATTTTACTTCAAATGTCAAACATAATTTAGAAATTCAAGAGAAGCAGCAAAGTATATTGCATTTACCCATATTTTTCTTACCATGTTCTTTCTTCCTTCTTGATAATATTAAGATTCCTTCTTTTACTGTTTCTTTTTGTTTAGAGAACTTCCTTTAGCTATTCTTTTAGGATATATCTGCTAATGACAAACTCTCTTATTTTTCCTTCATCTGAAAATGTCTTGATTTCGCCCCCTTCATTCCTGAAGAATATTTTTGCTGGGTATACAATTGTGGGTTGACAGTTCTTTTATTTTGGTATTTAAAAAATGTGCCATTTCCTCCTGTCCTGTATGTTTTTGTTTTTTTTTTTTTATATGAAAGTCACTGTCATCTGAATTGCTTTTCCCCTATAGGTAAGATATCATTTCTCTTTTGTGGCTTTCAAGACTTTTCCTTTGTCTTTAGTTTTCAGAGTCTGACTATGATGTATTTTGCTGTGAACTTCTTTGGATTTATCTGTTTGGAATTCATTTAACTTTTCAAATTATATAAGCTTATATGTCTTGGCAAATATGGGAAGTTTTAACTTTATTTTGTTATGTATTTTTCCAGCTATGGCCTGTTTCACCTTTCCTCTCAGGACCCCAGTGACATGAATGTCAAATCTTTTGTTATAGAGAAGCTATGTTATCGTCCTTTTTTTTTTTTTTTGGTCTATTTTCTCCATTGTTCAGACCGGATAATGTCTATTTTTCTATTTTACAGTTCACTGATTCTTTCCTCTGCCATTTTGCTATTTATTCCATTCACTGCTAGTTTTTATTTCAGTTTCTGCATTTTTAAACTGTAAAATCTCAATTTGATTCCTTATATCTTTTACTTATTTGTTCAGACTTTCTATTTCTTCGCTGAGACTTATTTTTCTAAATTTGTTTCAAGCATAGGTGCACTTGCTTATTGAAGCATTTTTATGATGAATGCTTTAAAATTTTCATCAGGCAATTCTAATTTCTCTGACATCTCCAAATGGGTTATCTACTAACTGACTTTAAATTCAATTTGAGGTTTTCCTGGTTTTTATTATGACAAGAATTTTTTATTGAAATGTGATCATTTGAGGTATTATGAGGCTTTGACCTTTCCTAAAACTTGTTTTGCCTGTCTCTCTCAGACACTGCTGTGGCACGGGAAGGGGGGACAGCACCTTATTAATCCCAGGTGGGAGCAGGAGTCCAAGTTTCCCCCTTGGCCTTTGATGACATCTGAAAGGAGGGGCTCCTCATTACTGCGGGGCAGGGTTAGGATTTCTAGTTCTCCATTAAGTCTTCACTGATATTTCTTTGGCCAGAAAGAACAGGGGTGCCTCATTACTGCTCTCTAGGTGGCTTCACCATGAGTGTATGGCTTTGTTTGCCTTTGGATGGTGGTGAAAGTCTTGACTCTCCACCAGCCCACTTATGACTCTAGCCCATTGGGGAGGGGAAGGATTGCCTGGTAGAATTGGAAGTATCAGCTCCTACTCAATCTTCTTTTTTACCACCCTGAGTGGGATGGGTGGCTGGGTTAGAGCATCTCATTATAGCCTGCAATCTGGGTTCTCTACTCAGCCTTTGCTGTGTGGGTGTGGGTGGGGCAACACAGTTGTTCTGTTTTTTGCATTTTTTTTTCCTGTGGTATTTGGCTGCAGGAAAATGGCCATTGCTTAAAAGTCTTCTGTCTTGTTAGGTTACCCTGTTCCTCTTCATTTGGCTAGAGACACCAGGCTTTTGTTGGGGACTGTTGTGCTTGTTGGTGTTTCCAGGTTGTTTGCCTCTCTAGCATGCAGTCTGATATAAAAGGCAAAATGAAAACCCAAATAATTCACTGCCATGTTGTTCTTTGGGTCCCAAGGTCCCTAGCCAGTCTACCTTCTCTCCACCTTTCAGAGTTTTCTTATGTTTGTCTTGTTTTATGTATAATATTCAGTTGTAGTTAAGTGTGAGGAACAAGGAAAGGTAAATCTCCATCTTTTTGAGAATCAAAGTTCAATGATTTTCAAATCACTTGCTTCATTTCCATACCCAAATTTCTGTCATTGTCTCTCTTCTTTAACCACAGAAATCATATTCATCTTGAGAAAACGCTTAATTTTCACCTATTGTATGAAGGCTTCCCCAATTATTCTGATCATAATGCTACTTTATCTTTCCGACTTTTCTTCAGATATTTTTATTCTATGTTTTGGCATTTAATTATATTCAGTCTTCTGGGAGATCCTGGGTAAATCCACTAATCTCTCTGAGCCTCAATTTTCTTATTTGTGAAAGGATGACAGTGATCCCTTGACTATTTCAGAAGATATTTAATAAGCATTAAATGAAAACTATAAAATGCTTGCCAAATGTTAGGTATTATTATTCCAAATGAGACTTGACTCCCCTTTATGAACTGCAAATTCTTTGAATAAGAAATTTCATATTCTCTTACTGTATTTCTCTATAAGAACTAGCCCAAAGGGTAGAATTTACTTTTGTGTTTAGAGATACACTCTAGATGTTAAGAATATTGAACTACCAGACCTAACACAGGCAATAGCATCTGATCCATTATTACTTATCAAACAAACACATATATAGCTAATTCATGTCCCTTGTTATTACATTCATGTATATGTCAAAAAACACAGATCTATTCAAATAGTTTCTGAAATACTTGAATCTTTGAAGACAACGTAACTGTTTTGAAAACATCCACGTCAGACAGAAGAGAAGGTATCTGTTTCAGTCAAGTATTTTTTAAAAGTATGTTTATATGTATTGTGCAAGATGTAAATAAAATACTCCCTGATTTGAGAAACTTACAGTCCTAACTGTAAAGAACAAACAGCTACATTAACTTAAGAGTCCATTTAGTCTCTCTCCTTGATAGCAACCTTTTATTTTTAAAACTTTACAAATCACACAAATGAAAAAAATCTCTTCTATTTAATTTAATTCCCTAAACCACTTACCTCCTTTTTTTCTAAGAGGAAATGAAAAGCAAGGGGTTTCCATGTTCTACAAAAATAAAGTGTTTTGGTAACTACGGAGCAATCAACCTATACTTACCTTTTACACAAAATAAAATACTAGTCTTTGCTTAGAATAAACAGTTTGGTATCCCCAAAAAAGAAGCTAAGACTGACTGGTTAAAATGAAAGTAAGATGACCCAGAAGTAATGAAAAGATCCTGTGTGCTGGATGACGACATCAGATGTAATATTTTCTAGTTAACTGCCTTTACTCAGCAAGCATCATGGATTACAACCTGGGTTTTCTATGTAGTTTTCACTCAATGAAAAATGGGCTCATCAACCAACTCCCTATTCCGATTCTCTTTGAGATTAATTGTAATTCTGATTTACAGATAATCTCCTGTGTACTGAATAATGTCTCTCCTCTAGACATAAATCACCTTCTAGCATGTTGATAAATATTAAGTTTCTAGTTTTGTAAAGCAGAGCATTAAAATCTAAAATATACTAAACCAAAGTACAATCACCTTTGTTAAACCCCTTCTGGGTGTCTAGCTGGGGTGACATTTATGCTGCTCACCACTTCAAAATGCAACACGGGCTGTAAAAATATCAGTAGATCCACTTACTGTTATTCCAAAACCAACAATGCTAACATGACTTCAATGCAGAACTGAGAGGAAAAAGCAGTTTAACATTCTCAACATTAATGAAGAATACAGATATCACCTAGCAGATCACAAACATGCAAATAACTCACTGCCATAGTTTTTAAATGTTTTAAAAGCAACAAAAAATTTTAAATTAAATGATTTTAATTCACAATGTGAACATTGATTAAACTTTTGGGGGCATATATGCTAAAGCTAGTATTTTTGAGTAAAGAAAATTTTCCTGTACCATTAACACACCACTTTTAATTTAAGGAAACACAGAGAAGGCTCTATCACAGAGATTATTTTACTTTCCCTAGTACCACTTTGGTGGCTGCTTTTATTGGAACACATTAACAATTCCCAAACGTATTTTGCTTGGCAACTCCCTTTAAGAAATAAAACTGTTTGGAAACTGTTTTGTATAAAAGATCAACTGAGTCATCTACCTTTCAGGAACATTTTTTAAATGAGTATCTCCTTCCTGTTATTCCAAGACCGCAGCATTTATTTCACTGTCAGTATTATATTTGGCTCTAAAAATACCAAATTTACAAAAACAAACAATCACAAACTTAAGCCTTTTCCTATTAATTAGAAGTTAACTATTATGAATAAACTGTATATAACAAAATGTGGAATTACAAAGTCAGTTCTTTTATGTTTATTTACTAAATTGGTAAAAAAATAAAAATAAAAGGAAAATAATATTGATAAAGAAATGAAGACAAAATGAAGAGTAGGCAAGAAAAATGAAACTAATTATTAAAAAGAAAAGTCACATTGGTTAGAACTACATATAAAAAAATACAATACTTGGTCAGAGTTAATAGAAATATAAGAACACTGGGCAGACGGCAATTCCAAGTAATTTCCCAATTCTAGTATCTTAATATCTCTAATATCTTACAAACTTACAAAATCTGTATTTTGCTTTTAGTTCCCTTAGAACCAGATGGTAATACGCTAGAGGCTCACACATAACCAACACACGACTTGTGTATGGTAAACTAGAAAGCATACATGGGTAATCTACAAGTTACTTGGGACTTGGCCAAAACTGGCAATGTTGCTTTCGTGAAGCCAAACATTTGTTTGGCTCTTGGTACAAGTTAATAGTGAAGGTTTAAAGAATTTTGAGGATCCTTACTTATGCTGGCTTCTGTGCACCAGTCTAAAGGTGGAATTTAATATTCTGAAACACTGTAAGTGGATTCTAAAAAGAGCTTAGTAAAATTGCTTTAAAAGGTTTACTTTACTTTTAAAAGCATCTGTTGCTCCAGGTGCATGGTTTTTGTCTGGATGAAACTTCAAAGCAAGCTTTCTATAAGCTTTTTTCAAATCTTCATCACCAGCATCTTTGGTAACTCCAAGTACTTCATAGTAATTTTTACATTTGTTTATGCTGTGAACGAGAGAGTGTGATAATGAAAATTTCAAGGAAGTTCATGTAATAGCTCTAATGTATTATTTATTAGAATAGTATAAAGAACTGTCCATGGGCTGTTTTCTCCATATCAAATGATAGCTTATCCCATTAAGGGTTACTGCTTCATTCTGTTTTTTGACCACAGACCATTCCTCCAACCTCTTCCCAGTCTAAGAAGAGTTAGTTGACCATGAAAATGTCCTTGGGGCAATTTATCACAACTACGGAGAAGTAAAGCAAAGTCTGTAACAATTGTGGATAAAGGACAGAGCACAAAACTGTAACTAGAATGAGAGGACAAGAACAACTTTAAGAGTATAAAGAAATTCAATAATCCTTACAAGTATGTTGCAGCTAAAGAATAGTATGCATTACACTCAAAGAGTTTTGTTGCCCAATGTATACTTAACCAAATATCAAAGCAACAGTTGAGAGCATGTAAAACAATTGCAGCACACTGTGGTTTAAATGTCAAGGCAAGTTAATTCAGCTTGGCCATGCTGAAGAGAATTAAATGATGAAAGACAAAATGTCATGATAAAATATATCATGAAACTAAAAAATGTTTGTTACCCTATTTTCATTGTGCTGAGCATACCCTTAAAGATTATAGTAAGTCCTCACTTGACATTGTCGTTAGGTTTTGTGACTTGAAGCAAAACGATGTATAACAAAACCAATTTTACCATAAGCTAATTGACACAAGAATTAAGTTCCTACAGCATCTCATCAACGTTATAACAAAACAACGTTGAATAAATCATCATTATTCAAGGACCTACAGTACTTACATAGTTTATAACCCTAAATATGTACCTGATTTAAACCCAGAGTCTTTAAAGTACATTAGGAAAAGAAATACTCTAATACTTTTGGATCCTAACATTCTCCCACAACCTAATAATTTTTCTTCAATAAAATCCTGGTATTTTTTTACACATTTTCTGCGGCATATTTTATGACTTTAGATGTGTTCCATGTGTGAGTGCATTGATGACAGGTCACTGCTCACTGGCAGTTAAAGTATTGCAAACACTGATTCAAAGTTTTCAAGGAAGTACAGCTGGTGTGGCTCAGTGGTTGAGCATCGACCCATGCAGCAGGAGGGGGCCCGTTTGATTCCCGGTCAGGACACATGCCCAAGTTGTGGGCCTGATCCCCACTGAGGGGCATGCAGGAGGTAGCCAATCGATGTACTCTCTCGTTGATGTTTCTATCTCTCTCCCTCTTACTTCCTCTCTCTCTAAAATCAATAAAGAAAAAAAATTAAAAAACAAAGTTTTCAAGAAAAAGAGACAAGACTGATTTCATTTCTTTAACTACTAAATATATTAATCATCACACCACTTGGTGCATGATAGGTTCTCAGTAAATATTTCTGGGATAATTGAGCCTCAAACTCTTATTTTATAATAAAAGCATTCCTCATTTGGTATATGAAATAGGAAAAAGAGAACACATAGTATAAGATTATAAAAATTTTTCCATATTACATCAACAAAAATCTGTTACAGTCGTCTTTGTAGTAATAATTGAAATTGGATTTTTCTACTTTAGATAGTAAATAGTAACACAAGTCAATTTCATTTCATGAATATGACATATTCTTTATTTAGTCAATAATATTTATATCAACTGCGTTCTTGATAGTGTTTGAGCACTTGAGATATATTAGTGAACAAAATAGAACAATCCTACCATGGTAGAGACTCATTCCCCTCAATATGATTAGAAACTATGCGATAAACAATATGATTAGAAAAAATGGTAAGGGGACATTTATAGAAAACCTACTGCATGTCAGGCATAGGTCCACAATCCCATATCCATGTTCCATTATCCATTAAGCTCTGAAAAATGTGAAGTTATCTATAACTACAACTGACTGCAAAAACCTGACTTTAACTCTTAGAGGTAAACTTGACCTGAATGAATGTCAAACTGCTATACAGTCTTCATATATCCCATTTAAGTGTGACTAGTTGTGTTTTGTTGCAGAAATGTTTCCATTAGGGTCTGAGCTGTTTATCAGTTATGTAATGTATAATGTATGCTCCTTATTGCCTTTTTAAAATATAAAGAATTCTAATTACAAACTACATCTGACCTACAAAGTTTTCACATAGAGAATTATATAGAATCTTATTATGCTGATTATTTGACATAACTTACCCTCATTAGGTAGATATTATTCCTCTTTAACCAATGAGGAAATCAAAACTTTGCATGGTTAAGTAAATTGCCAAAAGTCATATAACCAAGTAACAGATGGGAACCAGGATCTATTTCAACAAAAACCGGATGAACATCTACTTTCCGCTAGATACTGTTTCAGATGCTACAGTGGGGAATATGAGAGTCAAAAAATCCCAGCTCACATTAAATTTACAATTGAGAGGACCAAGCAATAGCAAATATACAAGTAAAAGATAAAGTACATTATATGGTGATAAAAATTTATAGAAAAAAAAAGTGGCAGAGGGGAATGGGGAATGGAAGAGGAGGAGGAGGCCTGCTATGGTGATTAGGAAAGGCACAGGAAGTAAAGATCCAAACTTCAGTTTGTATGACTTGAAATCCCATTGAGAACCAAAATAAAGTAGAAAAGGAGCTTCCTTGGACTCCAGACAAACCATTTCCTTGCTTGCAATTTGCTTTTCTGATCAGTGTTTAAACAGACTTTCTTCCCTCTTAGATATTTTCAAATGTTGGTTTTGGTATCCGGAACATGTGTTCTCTGCCTCCCTTCCTGCTTAGGTTCCAACACTTCTTCAAACCTCAGTTTAGCTCTTTCTCTTTTCAAAAACTCAATTTCCTCAAGACTAGGTTCGGTGACCCTCTTATAACTTCTCAAAGCTCTCTGAACTTAGCCCCATCCCAGCAATTACCAGACTGTACTGCAGCTACCTGTTCACTTGTCTGACTACTATACAGGCCCCCTGAAGGCAGCCACTGCATCTTGCTCACTGTATGTGTTTAATGGACTGATGAACAGATGAATGGATGACCAATTCAATTTGAGGGCAGAAATGGTGAGAATCCAAGTCATTTTTGGAACAAAGGTGATAAGTGCTATAATGAAAATGTAGTTGGCATCAGAACTCAATTTGGAATAGAGGAGAATAGAACTATGAAATAAGGAAGAGCTAAAAATATGATACACACTACCTGAATGCAGAAAACAAAAGGTAGTAAACCAAACACCAAACAATCCTAAAGTCATTACAATTTGGTTTGGATATATAATATGTTTAATTATGTACCAGATTAATCCTCTAAATTGGTTTTGTTGATAATTTCTTAGCATAAAAGGCTAGGCAACAGAAAAAGGCAACCCAGCCCTCGCCATTTGGCTCAGCAGTTAGAGCGTCGGCCTGCGGTCCCGAGAGACCCAGGTTCGGTTCCCCCTCAGTGGCAGTTTGTCCCCGGCCCTGTTTGGGTTGTGCGGGTGGCAGCTACTCGATGTGTCCCTTTCATGTCAATATTTCTCTCTCTCTCCCTCCCTCTCTCCCTCCCTCCCACTCTATCTGAACAAAATATCAAAAAATGTCCTTGGGTGAGGATTAAAAAAGAAAAGAAAAAGGCAACCCAGGAATGGGTTGCTGGAGAGTCTAGAAAAATTAGGTTGGAATTCACAATTCTCTTGAAATGGGTCGTAAAGATAAAAGAATTGACACAATGAGAAAAAAAAAAGTAAGAAGGAGAATTATTTCAATTCTTAGCTGTATCTAGCTCTGCCATATCTTCCCTGTACTAAAATTTTCATCATATATTGGAGGAGAAATCTTTGAGAAACCAGCAGAGAGGTATGAAGTTGGCATCACCAATGGAAAACTGAAGGCTAAGTATTTCAAGTAATATTCCAAATATACTAACTTACCTAATTTTTCATACCTAAATGAGAAAATGCCATTCATATACTTATTTTAATTCATACTTTTTGTTCATCATGCTCCTTTTTACCAGTTAAAATGCATTTGTCACACTCTTTAGTTTGCTCCTTACTGAAAGATTCACATTTGTTCTCCATCCTCATCAAAGAATTAAAAAAAGAAAGAAGAAAGACAGCAAAAGGTAACTCATTATCTACTCTGGAAGGAAATACTGTGCAACAAAGTCACAAAGATCTGCCTGGGAGCTTATCATTGGAGAAGTATGTCTTGTTCAGCCTTCATGTCTTCCTTTGTGTGCAGAAAAGCACAGTGGGCAGGCAGGGAAGGAGAGTCTTCTTTCTTTCAATTCTTTTTTTTTTTTTTTTTAACATAATATAGATGATTATTTAAATAGATTCTATGTATAATTCGTGTTTAGGGAAATATTTATTCCTGGAGGCAAAGGATTTATAAGTTTAGCTAAATAATTTGTCTTCATTTAAAGAACTACAATTTAAATCAAATCCTAATAAAATCCCTATAATTCAAATGACTTAATAGCTGTACAGAGTGTTCTGAATTGATAAATATAATGATGGCCCAGTTAATGATTTCACATTGATCTTGTAAATGTTAAAATAAAAGATGGACTTTTTAAAATGAGATACTAAGAATCTTTTCAAATTAGATCCATGACACCTTTTTCTCAATAATTTTTCAATATTTGCAACTCAAAGAAAACGAATAGTGCTTAGTTTCACAGAATGTTACTTTTACAAAGTTACACTCTTTCTTCCGTCTTACTGTAAGCTAGCTCTTACTTATGCAATGGATGCAGTATTATTGCATGGCTTCTCCCATTGAGCCAAATTGTCACTGAGCAACTTGTTTGCATAATTATGCTAACCAACAAGATAACATGGCTTTCTTCAGAAAAATCCCCTGTGTATAGGTAAGACAAAAAACAAAAACATGCAGCATGTAAGTGTTGGCTGGTGATCTGTTACCTCACTAAAGCAACACTTAGGAATGCTAATATAATGAATGTGTTTCATGACTGAGCTAAGCAACTCTTATAAAGGTATTAACTGATGTATTTTGAAT